CGAGCTCAGTCCTCGGCCGCCCCGGCTCGCGGTCGCGCTGTGCCCCCTCCCCCAGCCTCGACGTCGGAGCCTCTGGGGACAATCTAATTCAACTCGACCCTTGACTGTCACCCCCTCCCCCATCACTGCCTCGCTTTCACCTGTCATCCCTAAACCTGTGGGTGCCTGGGCGCCTGGGGGCGAGCACCGCGCGTCCAGGTCTTGCTACGCGAGGGATCGGGGTGGACGACTGCAAATACACCTATATCTACTCGCCTAGGACCCTTCCCCGGGTCAAGAGCTGCGGAGCCTCTTCCCTAAACCCCGCAGTTTTCACTCCCAGCGGCAACCTTTGAATTACATTTTTATTGTTTACAAACACCTTACAGCCCTTCCCCACGGGAAGTATGAATCTGGGTTGAAAAAATCTGCAGTATTTGCCTCACCTGCCCAACCGAATTGCCCTCCACCGGGCGCCCGGTCCGACTCTTCCCAGGTGCACGCCGGTGCTAACACTCCACCGAACCACGCCTCCTCACGCTGTCCTCACAGCTCTCTATGCCCTTCCTGAGACTTGGGCACACAGAGCCTTTGCAGATCATGGGGCAGGAGTATAGGAGGGGGCGTTCAGTTTCCTTTCACTAGAGGGGAGTCAGGCTGATTTCTACCCCCTGGCTGCACCGTTTTCTACTCTCAACCTGGAGTTTGCAATTCCTAAATTTCCTGGAGGCAAACAAGGGCAAGGAAACTTTGCAAACTCAATGGCTGGGGACATCGTTAATTTTTAATAAAGACCTCCTAAAAGTGTGTGTATGTGTGTGCATGTGGTTTACTTGGAAACCAAAAATTGCGTTTCAAATAGTGATTGGACCCAATACACATGAGAAAATGGGCCATCTGGGCCAAACACAGAGATCACCTTACAAGGAGAAGCTATGGCCAGGATACCAGTGTCCTAACTAGAGTTGGTAGGTAGGAATCTTATGAATGAAAAGGAAGAGAAGTTCCCAGATGGCCTCACCTTATGGACAGCATTCTTCTTGGAAACACTTGGTAGAGGTATGAGAGTGGGTGTAGGCTTGTGTGCACTCTGCAGTTGCAAAATCAGGGGAAAGGCCACATGGTACAGTCCTGTTTTTCAGGGGCCTTTCAGGAGACACCTAAGAAAATGCTTCACAGACATTCTTGAGATGGTTGCAGAACTCAGTCTGTTCAAGGCAGTCAGGGTCAAAGAGGTACATCTTGAAGTAAGCAAGCCTGCTGCAGGAGCCTTGACTGCTCATCTCTGCATTCTAGTGGGGTAGAAAACAGTGCCATTCCAAAACCGGAATGGGAAATGTATACACTCTTCTCCTTCTCCTTCCCCCACCCCCACTCCTCTTCCTCCTCCTTCTCCTCCTTTTTTTCTTTCACCTGTAAAAGAATGGCTGGCAAAGCCAGGGGTCTCAGCAGAGCCTGCCTGAGCTGCAGCCCTAGCTGCCTTGCAGGGTGGCTGGGTGAGAGGGTGACGACAGTGAAACATGCCAGAGGGAGATGCGCACAGGTGGGTATTTGGCTGGCCAGCCTGCTTGCATGTAAATTTTCATGGACAGCAGGGTAAGAGACTGGCCTGGTGAGCCAGGGATTTCTCCCTCTTACCTTTGTCTTTCTTAGCCAGTCTTGCTCCCTCTCTCTTATCTACTCCTTGCCCCACAGGTAATGATTCCTCCCAGATGACAGTATGGCTGACTGTTTCTGGAATGCTGCCCAGGAAAGATGCGGAGGTGACCCAATTCTCAGACTAAACCAGGCTCCAGGCCTTTACTCTGGAGTGAGCAGCTCACAGGGGCGGAGCTGTATCATGGGTGTGTGCAGGGTTTAGTGAGAGATCAGGCACCCACACCCTCATCCCTCCTTAGCCGGTGTTGAGGCCTGTGCCTGTGACTTGGCCCCAGCCTGGCCATGCAGCTGCATCTCAGACTGGAATATGAAGAGTTCTTAGTGGATCCCTTTCCCTCCACAGCCCCAGCCTGGGAAAGGAATGATCCCCATCACTTCCCAAATGGTTGATTGGAGGAAGTCGGGCTCCAGGCCTAGGTGCTTTCAGTTGTGAAATTTCTCCTTCCAGACTCCTCTTTGACAGCTTATGGGAACAGCAAGCCTTCCAAAATCTGGAGCAGGAAGCAAATCACAGGAAGAGTCTGGACATTGGGATGGAAGTGCCCATGCTCCAGCTCTAAGAGCAGAATAAGAGCCAAGAGAAAGTTTTCTTCTTTTTGTCCTTCTGCAAAAAACTCTATTCCCTCTTCACCCCTTTCCACAGCCCTCCTTTTACAACTGCTTCTAGCTTTAATCTCCCAAGCCCTCCTCTTCCATAGCTGCCCCTTTTCACTTTCAATCCCAGGCCTCAGGCCTGGAATCTCCATCAGGCGCAAGTTGCCTCACAGGATCTGTATCTTTGGAAGTTAAATCCTCCAAAGTTAGAGCATTTGTGAATTGAAACCCCATATTGGTTGAGGTAAGGGGTGCTTTTCTTAAAAATGAAGAAAATTAAGCTGGGCGTGATGGCACATGCCTATAATCCCAGCACTCAGGAGGCTGAGGCAGGAGTATTGCTGAGAGTTCAAGGCCAGTTTGGGCTACATAATGAGTTTGAGATCATCCTGAACTACAGGGTGAAACCTGTCTAAAAAAAAAGAGGAAGATGAAGAAGAAAAATGAAGGAAACTGTGCACACCCTTTGAGCCTCTGGACTTTCTCTGTGGTCCTTTGCTTCTGGTGCCTGTGCAGGCCTGGACTGGGATGATTCTTGCACAAGGTGAGGTCACAGAATATGGAGGGAGCCAAGCCCTGACCCCATTTCCTTCCGTTTTTCTGGGATCTCTAAGTGCCCAGAAAGTCATGACTCTCAGTCCTGCTTGAAACATGTCTCAGTCCTGTGTGGACATTGGTGAGTAAATGGAGAAAACAGCAGGATGCCCCTCAGTTTATTCCTGTATGGGTGGCCATCATGCTGGAGGAGGGGCTGGGGAGTGAATCTAAGAAGTGATAATTTTGGACCAATGGATGAAGGAAGATCGTTTGCAATGTCAGTTTAGCCCCTGGCACTTGCCTTTTCTGCAAAGCTGCCTTGTACTGTGTGTACTGATTTAGTGGATGTGCCACCGTTGCCTGGGAAGACCCTCTACTCTGCCTAAAGACTGCAGGGAATGTGAGTCTGCCCCTGGGTTTGCAGTCTGATAGGAAAGAGCCCAGGGAAGGCCTTTGTGCCTGATGGGGGCAGGGTCAGTATGATGGAAGAGTGCCCCCTAGTGAATCGTATCCCTGGCTGCTGGGGTCAGGTCAGTTTGAGGCTCCTTGGGTGGGTCCTGGGTCCTGGGGGTTGAGAAAGGGGATGGGAGTGGAGAGAAGAGGGAAGAAAGAGATGTTTGGGGAAAGGTTTCATCCTGGAACAGATGTCCGAGACCTCTCCAAGAGGGCACTGATGGCTTCAGGTGTGTTTCTGAGTCCCCCCCCCCAACTTTAGCCTTTCCTGGGTTTATTGCATGGTCTCTAAAGAGACAGCTTTATGTTACTGACACTGGGAAACACTTTGTATTCACCCTCCACACATCTCTTATGTCCCATATTTCATACGTTCATTTGAAACCAATATTTCCTGAGTCCCCACTCTGAGCCAGCTCCTCTAAGTGTAAGGTGATCTTCACCCAGATGTGGCTCATAGGTCTCTGGGAGCAAGGGAGAAAGACACAAGCATATTTCAGAGTGAAGGAAGGGGGCATAGGCACAGAGCAGCAGCCACAGCAGGTTTCCTGGAGGAAGTGCTTCTCAAGTTGAATGCTAAAGGCCCAGTTGGATTGGGAGGAGACTTCCCCAGGCTGGCATTTGCAGAACCCATAGAAGCAGCACAAATTTCTTGGCACACTAGAACCAAAGCAGGAAGTATTGGCTATTTATGTGACTGACATTCAGCCACACATAAATCCCTTCTCGGGAGTAATACTGAGAGGGAAGCATCCTGAAGGGCACGAGGAAACTTGGGGATGTTGAATATATTTACTACTTAGATTGTGGTGTTCATATGATAAAACTTACCAAGTTATGCTCTTTAAGTAGGTATGTTTTGTTATATATTATGTATACCTCATTAAAAAAGAAACCTTTTCAGGACCAGGGATTTAGCTCAGTGGTTCTATCACCTGCGTCCCAAACGCAAGTTCCCAAGTTTGATCCCTGGTACCCTCTCCCCGAAAAGTAATTAAAGTTTCTTCTTTAAAAAAGAAACATTTTCAAATATCAGATAGTACTAGGGCCGGGGATTTAGCTCAGTGGTTCCACCACCTGTCTCACAAGTGAAAGGACCTGAGTTCAATCTCTGGTTCAAAAAAAAAAATTTTTTTTCTTCCTCTATTGCATTGTCTCTATTTTAAGTATTATGTACCTACTTCCCACCACAAGAGATTAGGATCACATAAACACATACTTCTCCATTCTCTTGACATGACTAAATGACATTTCTTGTTAAATTACTCTCCAATGTTTATATCATTGTGACTATATTAAATACTGTTCATGGCTGACTCACATTACTATAACAGGACTACAGTTCCTTTCTTATCCAACTTTGATTTTTATTAGAATTAAGTTTTGCCTCATTTCCCATTTGCTTGGTTCTCTTTGTCCTTAGCATTATTTTGTAGCCAAATACACAGAACTCTGAAATTCCCCTCTATGAATGCAGACCTACTAGTATTCCATTGGCTCAGTCTCAGTCTTGGTGGGGTTCCTCTTGGGAAGTAGGATAGTGGCTGCTGTCTAGTCCCAGCAAATAGTTTTCCTCTTGACAGCTCCCTTCCTCTTCATTGCAGAGCTTCCCCTCCATTCCCTTCTGTTTGGTCCCTTATTTACTGAATTATTTGGTCCCTTTCTTTTTGGATTTACTATTTCTCACCTTTCCAAGAATGGATCTGTGAAAGGCAGATTAAAAAAACATCATGTCTCAAAGTGTCTTTATTCTATCTTCACACATTTTATTGATGGTTGGCTAGGTATAAAGTTCTAGGTTAGAAATAATTTTCCCTCCGTATTTTGAAAGACTTGTTTCACTGTCTTTTTGCATCTTGTGCTGCCATTGAGAAAAAAAATGATGCAATTATGAGTGCTGACCCCTGCTTATACACTGTTTTCTCTGGAGGCTCTTAGGGTTTCTTCTGCATGCCTGATGTCCTAAATACATATAATGTGTTCTCATATGTTTTTCTCCTTTGTTCTGAGTCCTTGATGGGCCTTTCCATCTGGCACCTCATGCCTCTAAGCTCTAAGGCTTTCTCTTAAGATTTTATTGTTGTTTTTCTCCAGTTTGTCTGTTTAGTCTTTTGGAATTCCAGTTATTTGTGTGTTAGAACTCCCCAAATGATTTTCTAATATTTGTCCTTTTTTTTTTTTTATTACAGTACAGTGTTTTGTTTTTCCTGGGCAATTTTCT